TGGCTGGGTGAGGGTCCCACATGGCGCGCAGACCTCTTCTGCCTCCCGCTACTCCCCTCAGCAGTGTACCTTGGTCCTTCTGCCTGCTCTGCTCCCCGCTCTGGCTCTGGTGAATTCTCTCACCCTCCCGCGCTTCTGACTGTACCCAGTGCTTGTATAAATAAAATAAATAAATCTTTAAAAAAAATGCTATAAAAAAAATAAAAAACAAAAACAAAAACAAAAAAAACTTCACTCTCATAATCCTCATCCCATCTATCAGCAAATTCTGTCAATTCTATTTTCAAAATATCTTCTGATTTCAATTTCTTGCTACCTCTACTGCTACCACACTGGCCCAAGCTTTCAATATCTCATTCCCTAATTTTTATAATAGTTTCCTATCTGATTCCCCCGCTTCTGCCCTTACGATCTATCTATTCCCTGTCTCTCTCTTTTCAAAAGTTAACATAATCTTTTAAAATTCAATTCATATCATGTCATTTCACTCTGTTCAAAACAAGGTTTCTTATCTCACTTGGAATAAAATACAAGGTGATTAACTACTACAGCCTACAAAACACCATGTAATCTGGCCCTCCTCTACCTATCTAATCTTACCCCCTACTACACTGTCATCTTTGCTCACTACACTTCATCCACACTAGAGTAAAATTAAATTTAACACCAATACTCATGTTGTTTGGAAACTATTCTGAGGTAGTGAGAGAACATGCAAGTCTTGGATTCCTTAATGTGAATAGCAGGGACATTCTTTCCCTTCTTGCTGTTCATTGATAAACTCAGCAAAACCTATCTCACTGCTTAAAGTGTTCTTCCCCTGAATTATCAATATGACTTGTTTCTTTATTTCATTCAGATCTCTATTCAAATTTCACCTCACCAGAGAGAACAGCCCCCTCCCTATAAATAACTCCCTTTCCCCACACATTTCCTGTCTTTACCCACCAGACTATAATTATAAAGACTTTAATTCACTGCCATATCCCCAGTGCCAAGATCAAATTGTAAGTGCTCTATAGTTAATACCAGTAATCAATTCAGTCATTAATAGCTCTTTAATGTTGTATGTCCTCAATCTGGTCTTCCCCTAAGACCAGATTGAAATTTTTGAAATTCAAAATTTGAAATTTTCTTTTTTTGGGTATCCTCTCTGAAGGCTTTCAATTCAATTAGTGAGAGTTCAAAAAAGGGATAGAATAATAATATGAAGTCATATTTTTCTTTCTCTGGGATTCCTCTTTGATCATTTAAACAATAAGTATTAATAAGCACCTTTGGGTGCAGAGCATCAACTTATAAAAGAAGGGTATTACCTACCTACATAGTTAAACACAAAGAGATACATAAATATAGTAACAACACTGGGCCTCCCAGGTAGAGCAAGGGACAAGATGCAGCCTATGAAGCTATCTGCAGCCACTGCAGCATGAGTTTGATCCCCGGCCAGGGAGGTGACCCACATAGCACAGCAGACCTCTCCTGTCTCACCCGCTGCTCCCCTCAGCAGTGTATTTCAGTGCATCAGCCTGTTCTGCTCCCCACTCAGTCTCTGGTGAAACCTCTCACCCCCCGCACCTCTGGCCTGTACCCCAGTTCTTTTTTGTTTACCCCAGTTCTTGTATGCATGAATAAATCTTAAAAATATATATAGATAGTATATATATTATATATATAGTAATAACATTGGCAATAAGCAAAGTGAAGAGGCTCAACATCATTAGCCATTAAGGAAATATAATCAAACATAGTGAGATAGCACTCTCTCCACATTCACTCAGGCAGCTAAAATCAAAAAGACAAGCAATGGAAAAGATGCAGAGAAACTAGAACCCTTATACAATTCTGGTAGGAAAGTAAATGGTGCAGACACACAGTCTGAAGTTCCTCAAAAGGTTAAATATAACATTACCATATGACCCAGCAATTCCACTCTTAGCATTCATTTCCTCAATTCAAGAGAAATGAAAACATTAAATCCATAAACTTGTAATAATAAATATATTCATAGCAGCAGTACTCATAATAAAATAGAAAACACCCAAATATCTACTAACTGATGAATAAATCAGGTATACCCATGCATATACCCTTTTTATACAGCAATTAAAAGGATTTAAGTATTGATACATAGTATAACATGGATGAACCTTAAAAACATTAGAGTAAATGAAAAATCCAGTCGCAAATTATATAACATTTTTATGAAATATTCAGAATAGGCAAATCTACTATAAAAATCAGATTAGTGGGATTGCTTCTCGGCCTTTTGGCTAAGATCAAGTGTAAAAATCAGATTAGTGGTTAACTAGGACTGGTAGAGAGGGGAAAAGGGTAGGATGACTACTAAAGGGCACAGGTTTGTGAGGTGATGAAAATGTTCTAAAATTAATTATGATGCTGCTTGCACAATTCTGTGAATATACTAAAAGTCACTGAATTATACACTTAGGTAAGTTACATGATACATAGCTTATGTCTCAATATAGCTGCTATTTCAAAAAAATGCTGTTTCTTAAAGATTTATTTATTTATGCATATAAGAACTGGGGTACAGAGCAGAGGTGGTTGGGGAGGGGCATGAGAGGATTCACCAGAGACAGAGTGGGGAGCAGAACAGGCTGATTGACTGAAATACACTGCTGAGGGAGCAAAGGGCAAGTCAGGAGAGGTCTGCTGTGCCATGTGGGTAGCTCCCTGGCTGGGGATCAAACTCGTGCTGCAGTGGCTGTGGATAGCTTCATAGGTTGCATCTTAACCCCTTGCGCCATGAGGGAGGCCCTCAAAAAATGCTTCAAAGATATAATCTGGGTGTTATTTTAGTTTCCATTTATCAATATTGTTGATATTCACATTCAACTTAACATTTCTGAATGCTAGATAACTCTCATCTTTACTTAACACAATCAAAAAATTCATGAAATAGAATTTCATGAAAATTCTAAAGTAAGTTATCAGAGTCAAAAGTTGGTCCAGGATTCGTATCTCCAAATCAAGACTTCTTTCTTACCTCTCTTCTACCACTTACTACTAATAAGCATAATTAAAACCCAGCTATAGGGCCTCCCCGGTGGCGCAGCGGTTGAGCGCTGGGTTGCAAAGCTGCCTGCAGCCTCCGCAGCGCCGGTTCGATCCCCGCCTGCTCCCTGGCCACCAGAGGAGGGTCCCACATGGTGCGCAGACCTCTCCTGCTGCCCGCTGCTCCCCACCTGCTCTGCAGCAGTGTACTCCTGCCTGCTCTGCTCCCTGCTCTGGCTCTGGTGAATTCTCTCACTCTCCCGCGCTTCTGACTGTACCCAGTGCATGTATAAACAAAACAAACAAACAAACAAACAAATAAATAAATAAAACATGCCTCTATTTAAAAAAAAAAAAAAAAAACCAGCTATAGGGCCTCCCTGGTGGCGCAGGCAGTTGAGTGCCGCACTGTGAAGCTGTCCGCAGCCTCTGCAGTCTGGGTTCGATCCTGGCCGGCCGGTGAGGGTCCCAAATGGCATGGCAGACCTCTCCTGTGTTGCCCGCTGCTCCCCTCAGCAGTGTATTTCATCAGTCTGCCTGTTCTGTTCCCCGCTCTGTCTCTGGTGAATCTTCTCATACTCCCGCACATCTGGCCTGTACCCCGGTTCTTGTATAAATAAATCTTAAAAAAAAACCCACCCAGCTATAACATTAATTCATAAAAGCTATGAATTAATAAAACAATGACTAAGAGATCATAAGAACACAGATTAAGAGAATGATTACCAAAACCATATATCATAGAATCTAATATCCCTGCATTTAATTACTTGGTCAGCAGTGCTCTGCCACATGAAGGAAAAAAAAAAAAAAAAAAGGGGGGTGGGTAGGTCTAATTCCCAAGGTCTCCTGAGACATGAGGGGGTGGGGGGGAGGTAGAGAAAGAAATGAAAAATGTGCACAGCATTCCCATTCCCAGGAATACCAATCAAAAGCTAAAAGCACTTCAGATTGGTTTGCAACTGATGTTGATCATTCAACAGCTTATTTCAAGCTGTCTTGAAATAAGACAGCTTCTTAATAATGTTATTGAAAAGCACCTATTTAAAAACTAGCTGTGACCAGGAAGGTCTTTTATTTTTTATCTGTGGAGGCAGTTACACAAATCTAAGTATGTGATAAAATTCACAAAACTGTAGGATACAAAAAGGACAATTTTATTGTTAACTTAAAAGTAAAATTTAGGGCCTCCCTGGTGGCGCAAGGAGTTAAGTTTCAGCACTATGAAGCTATCCACAGCCACTGCAGCACAAGTTCGATCCCCGCCAGGGAGTTGACCCACATGGCACAGCAGACCTCTCCTGTCTTGCCCGCTGCTCCCCTCAGCAGTGTATTTCAGTAGATCCACCTGTTCTGCTCCCCACTCTGTCCCTGGTGAATCTTCTCACCCTCCCCCACACCTCTGGCCTGTACCCCAGTTCATGTCTGCATAAATAAATGAATCTTTAAAAAAATAAAAAGTAAAATTTAAGGTAAACTGCATATTAAAAATTAGCTTTTGTGCATCAAAAGACATTATCAATGAAGTAAAAAAGCAACCCCCAAAATGGGAGAAATATTTGTAAATCACATATTGATAAGGGATTAATATCCAGAATATATAAACAACTCCTAAAACCAATAACAAAAACAACTTGATTCAAAAATGGGCAAAGAACTCAAACATCTCTTCAAAGAAGATAAATTATCGCCATTAATCATCACGGAAATACAAACCAATGAGATACCAATGTTGACCTCATAAAACCAATGAGATACCAATTCTGACCTCATAAAAACAAGAGAGGTCTGCGCACCATGTGGGACCCTCCTCCGGTGGCCAGGGAGCAGCCGGGGATGGAACTGGTGCTGGAGAGGCCGCGGGCAGCTTCGCAACCCAGCGCTCAACCACTGCGCCACCAGGAAGGCCCTAAAGTTGACATTTTTCTTAGCTATCTTATTAACCAACTTTGATCATGATCTTCACAAGGACACAATACAACCTTTGAGTGCCTTGGAACACTCCGGCTCCTCTAGCAGTTGATGAGCTTCCAGCAGAACTCTTCATGCTCAGAGACTTGCATAAGGAAGTATGCCCTCTTACTCAATTTTCTGGAAGAGTTTGAGAAGGATAGGTTTGAGTTCATGTATCAGGTTTGGTAGAACCAACTAGGAAACCATCTGGTGCTGGGCTTTTGTTTGTGAGGGGAGACTTTTGATTACTGTCTCAATCTCCTTGCTTGTAACTGATCTGTTCAGGTTTTCTATTTCTTCCTGATTCAATCTCAGAAGACTGCTTCTAGGAATTTTCCCATTTCTTGTAGGTTATCTAATTTACTGGCATATAGGTGTTCATAGTAGTCTCTTAAACTCCGCAATTCTGAGACACTGTTTTAACTTCTCTTTGATTTTCTCCCTTTTTTTTTCTTTGCAAGCCTTGCTAGAGATTTGCCTGTTTGGAATATTTTCTCAAAGGCCCAGTTCTTAGTCTCATTCTGTAACCCAACATGTGATCTTATACTTGAGAATATTCCACTTGCACTTGAGAATAATGTGTGCTCAGCTTTTGGGGGAAGCAGTGTCCTATAAATGTCTGTTTCTAGGAATTTTAATCCTTTCCTTAAAAGGAATCCCTTATTAAACAAAGCAGCAAGAGGCTCACAGTCAACCAAATTTAACCAAGCACCTGAATTAGAATTTTTCTGAATTAGACTTTTTCATAGGAGATTTATCATTTAATCCCCAAAAACAATCATTTGAAGGGGATCTGACACCCTTCCTCTATTTTCAACCACCAAGTGAAGTGGGAATCATACAGTTAAAATAACTTACAAAGATCTCATAACTAGGGGGGGAGGGGGCGGGGAAGTACAGGAGCCACAATTCAAACTCTGATCTTCTGTCTCACTTCGCTGAGCTTCAGTTTCCCCATCTGCACAATGGTAAAATTATACATTTCCAGAAGTTGATACAGGAATTATCACGTTCAAGTAGTGTCTGTTCCTTTAATAAGTAAAGGTCTTTCCCTTTCTTCCCCCATTCTTAACTTGCCTGGTTTGTTGATTTATTCCAAACAAATATCAAATTCTAAAGTTGACTTTTTTTTTTAAGATTTATTTATTTATTTATACAAGCACTGGGTACAGTCCAGCAGCAGTGTGGGAGGGTGAGGGAATTCACCAGAGCCAGAGCAGGGAGCAGAGCAGGCAGAAGGACCGAAGTACACTGCTGAGGGGAGCAGCGGGCGGCAGGAGAGGTCTGCGCACCATGTGGGACCCTCCTCTGGTGGCCAGGGAGCAGCCGGGGATCGAACCGGTGCTGGAGAGGCCACGGGCAGCTTCGCAACCCAGCGCTCAACCGCTGCGCCACCAGGAAGGCCCTAAAGTTGACATTTTTCTTAGCTATCTTATTAACCAACTTTGATCATGATCTTCACAAGGACACAATACAACCTTAGAGTGCCTTGAACACTCCAGCTCATCTAGCAGTTGATGAGCTTCCAGCAGAACTCTTCATACTCAGAGACTTGCATAAGGACTACTTCCTCTCCTCTATTCCCCCACATATGCAGGTGTTATTTTAGCCATAATTAACTTAATTAACATAAAGTGACAGAAATAGAAAAAGCCACAGTGTTCTAGCCAGGCATCAGGCTGCAGGGAGAGGAAGAATTCTCTGTCTGGCAAAGTGAGGGGAGAAATAAGGAACTACTGAGGAGGAAAAGGAGTCATGGCCACATGGCAAGAACTAGGAATATCTAAAAGAGTCAGCACCACCCACCAGGACCCTCAACCCTATTCCCCAGGCTGGGTTAGGTGCCCTTGATTTATTAAATAAGAACTCACACCAGACAAAGTATAATTATGAGCTCCTTGAGGGTTGAAACTATAACTTACATCTAGACCCCCAGGGCACAGAACGAGGCACAGACAGGCACCCAAATTTGTTGAATATATAAATGAGAAATTAAAATAAGACTGAAAAGGTTTCTCCTTTTCACAGGGTACAAGATCATCATGCATCAGGCAATCTATAACTTCTCATAAATACCTACACACAAAAAAGCATGTCAGGCCATGTTCCCAAAAGTTCTAGAAAACCCACAGCTCCTTCTCAAAAAAAAAAAGTGAGAGCAAATTCCAAATTAAATTTTTTTTAAAGATTTATTTATGCATACAAGAACTGGGGTACAGGCCAGCGATGCAAGGGGTAAGAGGATTCACCAGAGACAGACTGGGAAACAAAACAGGCAGATCTACTAAGTACACTGCTGAGGGGAGCAGTGGGCAACACAGGAGAGGTCTGATGTGTCATGTGGGTCACCTCCCTGGCTGGGGATTGAACTCATGCTGCAGTGGCTGCTGATAGCTTCATAGTGCTGCATCTTAACCCCCTGCATCAGCAGGGAGTTCACCACACACACAATTAAATTTTTAAACAGCTCCCTATTACCTTCAGAATAAAGTCTATATGCCTTAATTTGCATTTGATTCATTTGGCTCTTGCCTTTCCAATACACCTTTCAAGAACTCTGAGAACCTGCTAAACATGAACCCATTGCCCCTAATATGCCCTGCAGTCCTGCTTCATCACTTTTGTTGCCACAGTTCCTACGAGACTCACCACCAACAAAATTGAGATATACCTAAGTTCTACCAACCTTTAACGAAACAACTCAGGATCCATCCATTTTACAAAGTCTATCACAACTGTCCCAGATCACAATGTTCATTTCCTTTCCAGACTTAAGGTGGTAAGGTCAACAGCACTCACACCTCATTTAACAATAAATACCGTTGTTATTTTTATATAAAGAACATACATCCAATACAGACTAATACAGAGTATGGTGTGCTCCAACTAGTAAATCTCATACCAAGAATATACTTATGTTACTCTATTTTCGGTGGCTAGATAACTAACATATAATAAGTGCAGCTTTTTCATGCAAAAATTGAAATTTTTTTCATTTGAAAGTGCTAGTATAAAAAAAAGAAGAAAAGTCCTTCTGCCTGCTCTGCTCCCCGCTCTGACTCTGGTGAATTCTCTCACCCTCCCGCGCTTCTGACTGTACCCAGTGCATGTATAAACAAAACAAACAAACAAACCAGCAAACAAATAAATAAAGCATGCCTCTATTAAAAAAAAAAATTAAAAAAAAAAAAAGAAGAAAAAAAGAACTACTATCAATTGTTATTTAGAAAAGAAATTTTTCAACTTTTTTTCCCAATTTCTCAGTTTTCTCATCAATTTTATTTAAGTGCTTTAATAATAAGCATAAACATAATTATAAACATTTATAAATGCCTATGTTTCTTTCTGAATCAAAGTCAAGATTATAGTATGTACAGTGAGGTTTTAGGAAACCTTTTATTGTATCTTGATTCTAGAAAAACTAGTAATCTCTGAACACTAAGACAATGGTAACTCTTAAAGCTAGCTTATGTAACAACCAGGTATACCCAAGCATCTTTCAAGATTCATAAAGCTGTAATACCTTTCTTGAATCCTTCTTCCCCACTCCCAGAACTGACTACTGTACTTCTTCCTTTGGATTCCACTTTATCCTAGATATATCTGACCCAATCCTAGATAGAACCCTAGATCAATTTTATTATAAAACCTGTTTAAGTGTATACAATACTTAATTATATATACATCCTTATTTATATATCTGTAAAAAGTTCCTTAGACATGTGCTTTTCAATACAGTAACCATTAAGCCATGTAGTTACTTAAATTCAAACTTGATTAAAAACTAAGTAAAACTTAAAATTCAATTCTTCAGTCTCACTAACCACATTTCAAGCACTCAAGAGTCATATGTGTAACTGGTGACTACTATACATACAACACAAACAACATTTTCACCATTGCAGAAAGTGCAACAATGCTGTGTCTAGATTGTATGTTTTCTGAGTCTCACACAGTCTAGCAGGTAATCTGACAGAAGATATGACTAATTCATTTCTGTAACCCAGCACCCTTAGTAAATCTCCCATAAATATCTCCTAGGAAAGACACTGAGTAAAATAGAGCTTGTTCTACCTTTCTTATTATCACATACCACTAGGGCCTTTGTTCCATAAGTGCAATGTCCTTTACAGGCTAAAGTCAGCCCAACTTGTGGAAAGAGGTAGGAGTCATAATAGTTAGAGGTGATCAGAAGGCCTGTGTTCATCCCTCTTCCCCAGCCAAAGATCCACTATTTAGACTTGATGAAGGGTTTATTTTCTTGTTTCAGGTTTGTCATGCAACTGAACTGCAAGTGATTCCAAAAATAACTTTTTTCCAAATATTAGTACAATCTCACAACTAGCCAGAAATAAAAACATGGAGATCCTGTCTAAAAATTATCATACTTTGTTGGACTCTATAAATTAACATATCCTCAGAAGAACATAAGGTATGCTCCTTATATTAAAAAATATATATAGCCAGTTAATACACATTTTCTGAGAAACTTTTAGAAGCTAGGAAGTAAGAAAAGTGAAATATTCTAGAAGTAGGTAAAAAATTAAATTGGAATAATGCAAAGTAGTAAATACCCCTATAATAAAGGAAAATATCAAGAAATACAAAGGAGAGACTCAGAATCTAGTGGTGAAGTGTGGTAGAGGGTGGGGGAACCACAGGGATAGCAGCTCAAAAATAAACCCAAGCTACATTTTAAGTATAGTTAAGGTTGGGAGATGAAAGCGTGGGAGGGTGTCACAAACAGATACAATGGCATTAATGAAGGTACAAGAATAAGACTTGGACAGTAAATGTCAAGTACTTCAGTCTAGCCAGAACAACACAAAAATAAGATTGGAGACTAATGAGGCAGGCAGAGGCCAAATTATTTTTAAAAATAAACAAAAAAAGACCCTGCAAGCTAAAATAGGGGGTTTGAATTTTATCCTCAAAGCTATGGGAAACTGCTAAAGATTTTAAAGCAGGAGAGAATCTTATATTTAACAAATTTCACAGAGAACCAGTATGCAGGATAATTTGGTGGAGGTGAGGCAAGAGGCAGGGAAACCAGTCAGGATGTTACTGCAAAAAGTGAAGAGACAGTAAATTTTTTTTAAAAATTTATTTATGCATACAAGAATGGGGGTACAGGCCAGATGCGCGGGAGGGTGAGAGGATTCACCAGAGACAGAGTGGGGAGCAGAACAGGCAGACTGACTGAAATACGCTGCTGAGGGTAGCAGCGGGTGAACCAGGAGAGGTCTGCTCGCCATATGGGTATCTCCATGGCTGGCGGGGATGGAACCGGCACTAACCACCTACACCCCCAGGGAGACTCGAAGAAACAGTAAATTTGAACCACAATTTAAAAAAAAATTGGGGACAAAAAATGATGAGACAGTTTAAAGCAGATGTCCTATGCCTCTATGGCATCATTATTCAATTATGTAGCACAACTACAATAGCAATCATTAAACTCAATTCCATAAATTCTAAAAATTACACTGCCCTCCTTTTGTCAATAACCATGCTGGACTTTGAACTAAAACTGAACGTTCTCCTCTTTTCCATTGCACACAATTTTGAAAAAAGTATTTCAGGCAGCTGAGCACATCTGTGCAGTGTGCAACAAGTATAAACAGTTTAACAGGAGTTTAATGAAACATTTCCTATTCCTTATTGGAGAGAGAAAAAACAGGAAATTCTAACATAGCAATATCAGGTTGCAAATTGACATTTTTTTAATTAGTTTTTTTTTTTTTTAATGAACATGTCAATTTAAAAATCCCATCTGGTTGTATGGTACAGCTGCCTGAATGAATACAGCATTTTCAGTTAAGCACTTGGCTAAAGCATTCCCAACTGCCATGTGCCATCAACAGCATCCGTCATAAGTATAGCACTTAGGAAGTACCTATATTCCAATGAAAGGATTTCTTAGTTTGTCCTGGAGAGGAGAAGACATATAGGGAAATGGAAGAAACAATCTCACAAATTCAAGCAAGTGTCCTTTTGTTTTACCATGTAGTCTCTTAAAAAGCAACAGATTCTAACACCTATAACCCTATATTCCTTAGCCTAGAGAGCTTTACCTACTTTCT